AGAGTTTGGACATAACAATAATAATAATAATAATTAAAATTACAAACCTCTCCGTAATGCACAAATTTGCATGCACAATATATATAAATGTTCATTGCTCAAACACAAAGAAATTGAGCACTCATTTGCTCCAAATAAAATGTGGTGTCAATCTGCAAGGCATGTAAGGTATGCACTGTACATTCGCATAGATTCACAAAACAGTAAGTCTTGGATCTAAATCTTATAACGAACCCCCAGTTCAAGAAAAAGAAAAAAAAAAAGAGCTGTCTTTAATTCACAGCTCTAAATAGAAGATGAAGTCCCATATAATATATGATATGCCTGTAAATAAAAGTGTCGATTAACTATTGACCCGGGCTTCCAAGAAGCCGCTCCACCGCTGCGTGAACATTTCCTGAAGTAGCACTGAGGGCTCTGATATTCTCTTGAGTGTCGTAAAAGCCCATTTCTTGCAGCTGAGACAACTGGCTTGCATACAGCTCTTCTGGGGGTACTAAGGGAAAACAAACATTCAGATTATCAAAGAAAATATATTTTTAAAAAACAAAAAATGTTGTAGATATATATAAATGATTGTTCAGTTGCAACCAACCATTAGGATTATTAGCAGCAGCAAAGCTGCCGGTTCCAAGACCACCAAACATATTCATCAGCATCTCCAAACCAATGGTTTGTGTTCCTGCATCACCACCAAAAGAATGATGGTGGTATAGAGGATATATACAGGAAGATAAGAAACAACAAAAATATTTCCGTGAAGTGAGTTTGTTTTCAGTTTTGGGTGCTTCTTATCTCTCTACCTTGACCAGTCTGAGCTCCATTCCTGAAAAAAAGGGAGATCAAGCTGGGTTCATGAGAATGCTCGACTAAGTTTCTAAAATTAAATAAAGAGTGTAGTGGTAAATAATCCCATGCATCAAAAGCACATGGAAATAGTAAGGTCGTTCACAAAAAGGAGGCTACTTGAATGCAACCCAGAAAGAACAGAGTGTAATGCATGCTTTGATATTAAAACAACAGTTTAGAAGCATCACCATACAAGAACAAACTAACAGTGTACACTTCATGTTTAAAGAAATTGGGATGTAGCTATATACGAAGTCGAGTATATAAATATAACAGTATTCCACGCAGAAATGCAATGCATTATGCACTATAAAGTGATCCCTTAGCTATGGATATGCAATATTAAAGTCAATATAACAATCAAAATGTAACAGACTCACTATGATTATATATAAAGCATGAAAAAGTTTATTTCTCACTCACGGTGTTGACTGCGGCCCAGTAAGCTGAGAAAGTTGTTGTTGTAGGGTCAAAATTTGCTGAAACAAAATGAAGGCCGATGTGAACGTAAGGAAAAAGTTCCAAATCAGGCATAGCATCACCCACCTCTTCTACCAAACTCCATCAATAAACTCCATAGAAAAAACAATAACTCACTCGAGTGAATTAGAAGAGGATTGGATATACCTGTATCGTCTCAGGTGTGGCCAATTCTCGAAGAATCTCTGGGTTTTGCATCATTTCTCTTAATTGAGGATTCAGATCAACCATGCTGCGGAGTTGAGGATTCAAGCCCAGGATCTACAATAAAATTGTGATATCGTCACCAACATGAAGTCAAATGAAAAATATATTTAACCAATAGCCAACAGTTATATTAGTACTTGTTCCATATACTGCGGATTGGAAAGCAGGCTCTGTGTGATCTGCGCCACTTCTGGATTTTGCAACAACTGACTGAATGCAGAAGAATCGGTTATGCCTGTACGGTCCAGACCAATACCTCCCAATCCAGCAATTGAAGGTAGTCTGGCATCGCGAGGTGGATTAGTTCTCGTAGCATTATTCGTTTGAGAACCTCCTAAAACGTTACAATCATGAGCACATTATCATCTCATCAAAAATACCCAGACAAGATTTTAATAAGTATGAGAGTTGAACCAGAGGGTAAAATATCACATTGAAACCAAATGGTGTACAACTTGAATGATTTCCTAAACTAATCGAGCAATGTGAAACTCTTTTTCCAAATATTTTATATGAGTGCTTTTATGAGGATATAACAAGGTTACCACAAGCAAGTAAGACGTAAATGCTTTAGAATGCATTAGAAATGAGTCTTGAAGTAAAGAAAGTACATAGTAAAGCAGTATGATTATTACACAAACTACCAAAGCATGTAGCAAACATAAGCATCATGTAATTTACCAAACCTATAAGAACCTTGATCGTAGACACACTAAAAGCATCGAGTTTTACCAGTATTACTCCATGGATTTGGAAGTGGGTTTGAATTGGGCACAGTGGTCCCGGATTCAGGTGCAGCATTTGAGTCTGACCCATCTCTGGTTTGGGCATCGGCTTGGTTCCCAAAGAGAGCTGTAAATGGATTTGTTCCAGCAGCAGTCCCAGTACCACCACCACCACCACCAGTGGTAGTTGCATTCAATAAGGGTTCTTGGACATTTTCATACATGCGCCTCAGCATGTTAAATCCCTCGGGAGAAGATTCGATATTACTCATCGCCCTGTCTGTGTTCCGCATCATCTCACGCATCAACTCAGGGTTCCTAGCAGCTTCTAATGTTTGCCGAAGGATGCTAGGATCATTCAGAACATGGGCAAGTTCAGGATTCCGGTCGATTATCTCGCGCATCTGAGGGTTACTCATAATTAAACTCCTCATGATCTCAGGGTTGCTCATTAAGCTTTGGATGGCAGGTGAGTTCATGATATCTCTCATCATGTTAGGGTTCTGACTTAGTTGTTGCTGCATTTGTTCAAATTCAGGAAGCCCACTTCCAAATAACCCTAATTGCCCGGTTCCCCCAAGCGCACCCAAACCAGGCCCTGGAAATAAGGGTGCACCAGTGTTGGCCACCCCAGTGCCACCAGGAACTCGGCCACTACTTTGAGTGCCAGCTGGACTGCTGGTGTTTCCAACACCGGTNNNNAGGAACAGAAGGAGGAGAGGCAGCAGGTGCAGAACCACGGACCATATGAACGGTGTGATCTGGTTGCAAACCTATTCAAACGTATAAAAAGGCCAATGTTTATGAGGAAAATGAAGGTGGTGGTGAAATATGAACGAAGCTAGATCCTAGATCAAGTAAAAAATGTTCATATATTTCAGAACAACGATTGTGTTTTATGTACAAAAAGAGAAGGAAATAATGCAGAATGAAGTGATTCAAATTGATACTTGTGAATGCAATATATAGGCATTAACCTTGCAAGCAATGAAATATAACAAAACTGATTCTGCAGACCTATTTAACTGCACGTGTTTTCCATTATCAATACTCAAAACCAAGCATGTGCAAGGTTACATGATAGTCATAATCGGATATTAGTTATGAAATTATTGCATTCACGGTCCATCAATGAAGCAAGAGAGAATAAAGAATATCCAATCGACAAAAAAAAGCAAAATCATTGTGAGGATGGCTCGATAACAAATTTCCCCAGAAATAATGTTCTCCACCATGTAGGGAAAAATATGTCTCCTTAATATGACTGTGCGTTAAGAGTGTAGGGGTATCTCATATTGTATACAATTATCCAAGATTACTTTGAGAGCTACAGAACTGCCCATTAATTTAAAATAAAAAAATTGAGGTGACAAGTGGCACAGCAAAACCAAAATCTACAGTCTCCCAAATGATCACTTACCATCGCTTAATAAATTCAACCATCGTTTTTATACTGTCGATGCAGTTAATGTAATATTAGATACAATCCAGCAATGACTCATTTTCCACAATCACTTTCTTATTTAGCGAGTTTTACATTATCTAATTCTTAACAGGTATTTTGCTTAGAGTAAATGTTTAGGGATTCCAGCCTCAAACTATTAACTACACATGCATAAACCCTCATTTGCTTGATTTTATTTTTCACACCAGGAAGCTCAATTTTAATAATCAACCAAAAATCCCGTCGCCAATTCAACAACAGGTAGCAAGCAGATAAAAAAACAGTCAAATTACTTGCTTCAAACAACCGAAAATCAATAACAATTACAATTCTGCAGCAGCGAATAGAACCCCATAAAAAATAAACAATAGTAAAAAATACCATAGCTAGCCAGGGTTTGGTCGTCCTTCAAGATCCGACCTTTGTAGATCAAACGCTGCTGTTGAGCGGGAACGTCGCAAGTTTGCGCCAATACGCCTTTAAATTCAGCTACCGTCGATTCGAGGCTCGTTTTCACCGAGAACTTGGAGCCGTTTGAGCATCGAATGTTTAGATTCACTTCATCATCCCCCGCAACGCCTAAGGTGGACTCCGCCTCCGCACCCATTGATTTGTTGTAGTCGATAAATCTAGAAAAATAAAAATCAAAAATCAAAAACCCTAGCTTAATCAGATTGCAACCTCGACTGTCTTGCAATCGAACGAAAGGGAAAAAGTAGAAAAAAAGGAAACATAAAAAGCTATATATAATATAAAGAAAATACAGACTTTAGGAAAAATAACTTAAAAATAAGGGAAATGTATAGATAAATCCCAATCCTAAATTCATCTTCTCATTCAGTCCCTAGTGAAAATTTTTTCCATTCAACTCCCTAGTCAACAACTTTATGGTCCCCTCTAAGGTTTAAATTACATTTCTGTCCCTATACCTGTTTTTTAAAAGAAAAGTACCAGTTTTCATTCAGTATAGTAACATGGGCTTTCAAAATAGTATCTTGTGTTATAAAGTTACATGGAGTACCAAATGTCTTTCTATATTGTACCTGACTTTATTCCCGGAGTACCACCACACATAAAATGGTATCAGAGCCTAGGTTTTATTAAGAACTCTTAGAAGAATTTATTACATGGTAATTGAATTTTGGTGAGGAGAATTAAAAAAGAATGGATACAGAAAATTGTCCAGAATGTATACATTATCTAAGATATCTTGAAATTTTGAAGATGTGTGAACAAGAACACCAACAAATTGTTGCCCATTGGGATGACCGTTATGTTGAACAAGTTATGGCAGGAGTTAATAGAATTACAACTAAACTTTGCCAAAAACAAAAGAAGTATCATATGGATGCCCTCTGGGTAAACCAATTGTTACAAACAGATTTATTAAATCATCAAGCAATAACTCATCAAAATCACAGTCATCAATGAGCTATAATAGTTTAACCTGGAAAGAAGTTATTCCAGACTCGTCTAAGTTTTCGGAAGATATTCGCGAATTGCAAAAGACGATACAAAGCTATGGTGAAAAGCAATTGCTTGTACCAAACAAGGTACACCAGACGCTAACCAAAATTGAAGAACTAATGAAGAGTCAAAAGGATACATTAGAAATCCTTATTGACATTCAAAAGCGAGTTAAAACTCTAGAAGATAGGCCGAGTTCTTCTGGAGGACGAAGAAAAGTAACCTTCGGAACAGTACCTCTATTACACCAAAAGGGTAAACTCACCGAAGTTCGAAGGCCTATGACAGAGGACGAAAAGATGAGAGCCATCTTAATAGGAAAATTCACTAACAAATAATGGAAATAGTGAAATTGGAGGATCTACATGACCTTGCAGAATCCTTTGCAGGTCTGGGCCTAGTAGACTTAAAAATGAATACGGGAGATGGTTCAACGATAGTAACTAGGTCCCAACCAAAATATGTCTCTTATCATTCTGCATTTCATGATTACTTGTGTCAAGACTATTAACGAACCTAACACTTACGCTGAAGCTTGTACACAAGCAAATTGGATTGAGGTTATTAACAATGAGCTGTCAGCCTTGAGAAAAATAATACTTGGGAGTTGACTCACTTACCCAAAGGAAAAAAGGCCATTGGTAGTAAATGGGTATTTAAAGTCAAACTTAAAATGGATGGCACTATTGATAGATATAAAGCAAGATTGGTGGCTAAAGGTTTTAATCAAATTTTGGGAGTTGATTACAATGATAGCTTTTCTCCTGTGGTAAAATTGGTGACAGTTTGATTTCTTATTGCCTTTGCAACTGTCAAAGGGTGGCCATTAATGCATTTTGATGTCAATAATGCTTTCCTACATGGCTATTTGCATGAAGAAGTTTATATGAAATCCCCTGATGGATACACTAAGGCAGGTCCAGGGCAAGTTTGCAAGCTAAAAAAAAGCCTCTATGGGCTTAAGCAGGCTTCCCGAGAATGGAACCTTGAGTTTACTGCCAAGTTACTGGATTTTTGTTTGTCACCATCAGTTTATGATCATTGTATGTTTATTAAGAAAGGTGCTTCTTCTTTTTTGGCCATGTTGGTATATGTGGATGATCTTCTTGTCACAGGGAATGATTTGACTGAGATTAAAGCCCTAGTCATATCTTGATAATCTTTTTACCATAAAAGACCTTGGTTCAGTGAAATGTTTCCTGGGAATGCAAATCACTCGAGGTCTTGATGGAATTTTTCTCAACCAACAAAAATATATTCTCGACTTGCTGACTTCAATGCATCTTGAGTCTTGTAAACCAGTCAACACTCCTCTTCCACCAAGGATTTCTTTAACTTCTTGTCAAAGTGATCTGTTACCTGATGCTGATAGATATAGAAGGCTGATTGGAAAATTACTTTATTTGAATTTAACCAGACCTGATATCACTTACTCGAAGCAGCAATTGAGCCAATTTGTCACTAAACCGAGACATGATCATTGGGATGCTGCGGTTCATATTGTCAGGTACTTGAAATGTTCTTCTTCTTTGGGACTTTTCTACTAATCTACCTCTTCTTTTGTCCTCCAAGCCTATAGTGATGTCGATTGGGCCGCGTGTAAGGATACCATAAGATCTATCACTGGCTACTGCATGTTTCTAGGGACTTCTTTGATTTCTTGGAAGAGCAAAAAACAATCCATTGTGTCTAAGTCTACTGCCGAGGCTGAGTATCGTGCCATTAATAGCACGGTCCATGAAGTACAATGGCTATCTTATATTTGTGCTGAGTTTGATATTTCCTCTTCTCTACCTATTACCTTGCATTGTGACAACTAAGTTGCCATTCATATATCGGCTAATCCGGTCTTTCATGAACGAACTAAATATTTGGACATCGATTGTCACATTGTTAGGGATAAATGCAAAGAAGGATTTATTTCTCTTACTCATGTCTCCACTCAGTTTCAACTGCCAAATGTTTTCGCGAAATTGTTACAAGGTCCGAGATTCAAGTGGCTCATGTCCAAGTTGGGCTTGGTTTCCTTTGTCCCCAGTCCAGCCTGAGGAGGGGATTAGCATATGTGGCATTTTCGTAATTAGTATTGAATTAGCTAATTAGCTTTTGTAATTAGGGTGCTATATAATCAGCTTACATTGACTTTTTCCATATATGAAATAACAGAATTTTCCCAAAAATATCCTTTTCTCTCTCTGGTTCTACAGGCGATGGAGAACCGTGCGATTCTCAGGGAGTGGTTCGACCGAGTTGATTCTCAGAAAACGGGAAGCATAACTGCAAATCAGCTAAAGGTTTCAATCTTTTCAATTTATCCAATCCATTGTTGAATCAAACCAAAGAATGTCTACTCATATGTGGCATCAATTTTTCCGATTATCAGAGTGCTTTTGCCGCCGGAAACCTTCAGTTTCCAATTTCCGTTGTTCAGCAAATAGTAAGGTGAGGTTTGTGCGCTTCCTCCCAAGTTTCCGGAATTTCGGTGTAAAGTATCGATAATTTTGCTATTCAGGATGTACGATTTCGACAGAAATGGAACTATGAGCTTTGAAGGTGAGTTCTTTTGGTGAATCTCCACCTTTTGTTATGTACCTGCAAGTTTGGTATCGTGGGCTAGTTTGGTATTGGCTAATGGCCTAATGGGTTGGTTTCTTTTCCAGAATTTGTTGAGCTTAACAAGTTTCTTCTCAAGGTTAGTCCACAAGTGTTTGTGTTAAGAGTATAAAAATGACTTGTTTGAGCCCTTCTTGTTTCATCTCATTCTGAAATTTTCTAGCTGTATTTGAGCTGCTAGTTTGTGGTACTTGTCAGAATAACCGAACATTACATATTTGATTTTTTTTTGAATTTTGGTTAAATTTGTGAAACCATTTGCTTGGATAAAAAAAATACTGGTTCAACTTGTCTTCACTACATAATTGTGATATTGCCTTGCCTGCAGGTTCAACAAGCATTTTCAGGCTTGGAGAGGTAGTATGTTGTTGTATGAACTTTCTCTTGTGGTTTCGTGTTAAATGTTAAATGGGTTTCGTGTTAATGTTAAGTTTGAGTTCTTTGGTTGGGGCTCCACGAACTGTCGGTTCATTAATGGCCGTGTCAAATCGGGGGCAAATCGAGTGCGGTCCCACACAAGTGAACCGCACCATAAGAGGGTTAGCCCAAATGAAGCCCAAGTGGGGTTCCATCCCAAAACCAATTGGTAGTAGGAGGAGTAGCTCACTAGGCTTATAAGTTAGGCTTATTTACCCTATCAAATCAATGTGGGACAACTCACAAGTGACATTCCAACACGCCCCCTCACTTGTGAGTCCTTCATCAGCCCACGCCTCCAACTAGGCCGGGTATATTTTTTAGCCCACGCCTACAACCAGGCCGGGTAGCTTTTTTTTTTTATTTTTTTTTT